GGCCGGGGGCGAGGACAGCCATTCACAAATTTCCGAGCTGCGCTTTCTCCCTTAAAGGGGACAGCGCAGTGGCGGTAAGGAGGGCCAAGGCCAGCCGGGCGCCCACGTCCCACCCACCGCGGGCGTCCGGGGCTCCCAGGGACACCAGCATTCATTTATCTCCCCGAGGTTGGGCAGGTTCCCATGCCAGAAAGCATGCCCTGGGGTAGCAGAGCCTGGACGAGGCACCAGTATCCCTGCGAGCCACTGGCTGGGGGCAGCGGGAGCTGCTGAATGGGCTTTGCTCCCTCTGGATGGGGCAGGTTGGAGCAGAGCTGGCCAAGCAAAGGAGAGAAAGTGTGGACCCACAGAGTTCCCCTTCTCGCCCCCTACGCAGGGGGGGAATAATGGAGGAAAGGGCATCACTGGGTGTGGGGAATGGTACCTCTGGGCATGTCTGTGCTGCCCAGGGCAGCCCCAGATCTGAGCAGAGCAGTGCTGAGCCCTTGCAGTGCTTTCAGAGCTGCGTGTTGACCCACTCTGAGGATGGGACTGGTTACTGCAGAGGTGGTTCCTGATGGGGAGCTCGCGAGAGCTGACTCGTGGAGCTTTGTGGCCCCAAGGACACATCGGCTTAGGCAGAGTGGGCCAGGAGACCTCCGACAGCCTTTTATGGCACGAGCGGGGTGTGTTCGGCTGCCGCTAAGTCTGAGGGTGTAAGCACACCCAGGGACAAAAAAAAAAGAAAGATGCAGGGAAACAGGATGGTCTGGTGGGGTCACACTAGGCACAACTGGCTGGAGGTCAAGGTACAGGACCAAAAAAATATCAACCGATTCACTTAAAGACATGAGACTTCAAAATACCTTGCTTTGACTCTGGCCTGGAGTGGAGTCATCATGCCCTGGTCACATTTTCAAACCTTCCCTCAGCTCCGTCAGGCTTGAAATATGCTTTATTCTAAAGGAAATGAGGTACACACAAGGACCAGGCGCCCACAGACCACAAGGCCCAGCAGTGCTGT